AAGTGGTACATATGCAACTTCCATAGCGGTTTGACCCTAACGCGGAAAAGGTATGCATTCAGGCGTGCAAGTCCTCCTTAACTCAACGCAGAGCAAGCGTGCGACTGATCCATACAACAGAATCCAAAAGGGTCTAGGCGCCATCCGATCATTTTACGACATTTTGGGTGGCTATGTAGTCTTGCAGCATTGGTATTTACACATGGGTGTATCCGTCCGTAGGACATTTTTGGAGGAATGTCCTGCAACTTGGCACACGGGTGTGTCACGCTCATGTTAACGTGTTCCCACAAAGAAACGAACAATATCGAAGCACTTGGTGCCTGTGTACGGTGATACTTCCATGAGATTTTGCTTCTTTAGACCCGCCGAAAGGGGTGGCAGCTTTGTTTTTTGCAACAAGAATCTACTGGTTAGAGACACCCCGAAAAATTCAGGTACGCGTGTGAACAAACAACTGATACTCCCGGGTCGTGCTGTTTTGCACGGGGTGTATCGTACGTACATGCGTCTATAAATCCCGGGGTGCAACACATTAGGTAACCTCGTAGTACGGGATCTATTACGCTGAGAGTGCAAGGGCGACCGGTGCGCGAGAGGCCCTCCGCTGGCTTTGCAGCAGCGGGACCTCAACACCTTCACCCCATGCACGAGGGGAACCTCTGCATTGGGGAACCTCACCCCCACCAACGCCGGGGAACGCTGCATAAGGGAACCTCAATGGGGCCCATTGCACCAACTAGCCAACAATTCACAAGCCAACACTTGTGCCTAACAAGTAGTCTATTCTCCCTGCTGTCACAACGGCTTCCTGTTCAAACCGTGATCGGTGCCTCGATATACCAGGGCATCTGTGCCGAACTTAGGTTGGGGAGCAAGCGTCCCCGCCAATAACCGACGCTAGCTCACGGCGAGACAAAGAGACTCAAGAGGGACACTCATTGATATGCTTACGGACAGTGCGAATACTTCTGTTGTTAGCTATACATGAACACACGTTGGGTCGATTGTTGTTGTGTCGCCTTTTCATGCCAGAAGAGAGAAAGGGAGCAAGTGGAGGGCAACGACCAAAACCCGTCACTGGGAGACACGCACAGGGTTAGGTTGTTGTTTCTTAAACTTTTGGGGCATCCGGCGATCAGGAAAAAGTAGGTAGAGCAGTAGGTGTGTGCGGAAAACACGACAGAAACAGCTACCGAAGGCGTTAGCGTCAGCTGGTGCTGGGCGTTCGTTTTCTGGCTGAACCCTGCGCAGTCGATACGAGGCCTTGTACTTCGGATTTGTGAACGTGTCGGCGGAACCACGTCGCCCGCCCTGTCCTGTCGGGTAGATTTAGACGGGAGACGCAGCAAAGTCTAATTTTTCTTGTTGTGCGCGATTTTTCGTTTTTATGTTCAGAGTTACTTGCGGGTGGTGTGTTTTGCTTTCGTTTGGTGGGCCTTGGCTGAAGCGGCATGCCTGTCTGTCTCGCGGATCTGTAATCGCTGCAGCAGCTGTGTGAAAGCCTCGGAATTATCGCTAAAGATGAAATCAGGGACTCTGACTGATGGTCGCGCGATGGATCATCGCTTTGTAACCCAGGCTCTCCTCCCGTTCCTTCCTTTGAACTAACTGTCAAGGATCTTGATGGCAACGCGATCGACGTGTCGGTGCAGCGGGACGCGCAGGAGTTACCGTATGTATATAAAAGTCGGAGAGTTGGTGCGATCGTTTTTTTAAATGTTTTTTCTTCGTTTTTTTTTTCGCACCCCGGTGCCATCTCTCCGACCGTTGCCATCTCTCCGGCCCCGGTGCGGAAATGCGATGAAATAATGTCGTTTAGAACTTTCAAGGCACCCCGGTGCGATCTCTCCGACCGGTGCGATCCTCGATGAAATACATACAGGTACAGGTGTTGTATGCACGCACCCCGCTGCCGTCGCCAGTGTAGGTACCCACGCACGCACACGGTCTTCTGCACACATACGCATATCTGCGCCGGAACAAGGCAGCGAAATACACATACGTACCAGATACGTACCCCGAAAAAAGCGGCGAAATAGCGCAAACAAAAAAAATCTAGACGGTGCCAGTCAGTGCGAGCGCACACACACAGCCATTGATTGTGCCATGTCAGAGGTTGTAGGTACTGCTTCCTCACAGACCAGTGGCAGTACTATTGGTGCTGGTGCTGGTGCTGCTGATGCTGCTTCAGCAGCTCCTTCAGCTTCGCAGCAGTACAATAGTTTCGGGTTGAGTAAGGTTGGGTAGGGTGCGGCATGTACGTTGTGTGTTTGGTTGAGTGTACGGTTGGCAACTTCCATATCAATTATAAAATGAAAACAACTGGCATCCCGCGTGAACCGCGACCATCCAATCGTACGTAAAGGAGTGGCGCTCCGCTGACACCGTCCCCACGTGTAAAAGGTACGCACATGTACCTCATTCCGGCAGCTGAAAAGGAGCTCAATCTTGGATTTGGGGGTCGGAGAGATCGCACCCGGAGCGATCTCACCGACCCCGGTGCGTAAATCGAATTACATGTTTTTTTATCGGGTTTTTTATTACACCGCGGTGCCATCCCTCCGGCCGGTGCCAACTCTCCGACTATTACGGTATTGCTACAGTAGATCTCACCGACAAGATGGAGGTGCGTATCGCATGTCGTATGGTCAGTCGTGTAAGTAGTAAGCGGCTTGCTTGCAGCGGTACGTAGGCTGGGCGTTCAAGCCGGCTTGTTGGCTCAAGACAGCAGCAGGAACGTTAATTGTGTGTGCTACCAGCCATCGACGCACGAGAAGGCGTCAAGGAATGTCTATACACGGTGCAGTGTTGATGTGACCGACAGAAACATTATGGCGCAACCCCTAACCCCCGCTTTAAGACTCTTCTCGCATCTCGTGCCCCCGTTTTTTTTCTTTTGCCGGTCTCGCCGCAGGGGGAGTCTAAGGAACACCCCGCCGTTCTCCTACGCGTCAACCTTTGAGGGGATGTAGGTCAAGCAGCTCATCTGCCCGAAGCCTGCGACCGCCGCCGCCACCTCCGTGCCTGGGACAACTGCTGCAGCAGCAACGGTAAAGCCGCCCTCCGAGGGGGGAGCATGGGGGAGGGGGGCGTCGAGGGTGGAGGAGACGTGGAGGATAGTTGCGTGTGAGGGAGAGGGAGACGCGTTGGTGTGTGTGAGCCTGGAGGTGAAGAGCGTGCTCAGGGTGGGGGGGGGCTGCCCTTGAGAAGTTCACGGAGAAGGAGATCATCGAGGGGTATGCTGCGGATGACGACGTGAGAGGGTGCGCGGGTGCAACAGGTTCGGAGTTTTGTGCTGCAACATCGAAAGGCGGGATTTTCTTGCTGCATCCCGGTGATGGCGTAGCGTGGGAAGGCCGAGGGTTGATTGTGTGAGATGTTGATTGGTATAGGTGTGTAAAAAAGAGAGGTAGAAGTTCGCCCGTTATGTTTCACCTGTCGATAGTAGGCTTAGTCTTATCGATGAATGCATTTTCTAGTGGGGGATTGAGCGTCTGCTTTTTTACAGTAGCGGGTCGTCTTATGGCTGTCTGTTGTTGTAGTTGTTGGTTTGATTACGTCTTTGCGTTAACGTCGACGTCCATCCGAAAAACCCTGGGCAGTCGTCGCTTCAGGTCCCCACGCCAGCTTACAGTACCTTCTCTTGTCCACATGCCCCCGACTTTCCGGTGCGATGCTTGTGCCATCGGGCTTGGCTTGGCGAGAGCACGCGTGGAGGCTGCGGGACGACGCGGGCCAGGGGACGCTAAGGTAAGAGTCGACTGATAGCCGATACAACACCAAAAAGCAAAATTAATTCCGCTCACAAAATTTGCCAGGGTGGAAGTGCCCGGTCGTGTCTATGTGAGCGGACACGGCAACCATTGCGCGATAACGGGGTGGTCACCGTCGCACGATGCAAGACAGAGAGAGACACGTCGCGTGTTTGCTTGTTTCGAAAATTATTGGTGGTAGATTCTGACCCGAAAATTGGTGACCACATCCGTCTGAACGCCCAGTGTATACGCGACAGCACTTGACACAGGGGCTTCGTTCATGGAGACGATACGAAGTCCACCATCGCTCGTCCTACACATCGCTCGTCCTACACCTACGGTGGTGGTTCACACGGCAGGCTTGGACGGCCAGCAGGAGAGGGGGTGGGTGGGGGGGAGGGGGGTCGAAGCGTAGCGGCGCGAGTTCAATGTTACCGTGGTGAAGAAGTGGGCCGTGGACGGAGGGGAGAGCGGACAGGCACGGGGAGAGGCTAGGGAGGGTATTAGGACAGCGGTGGGTCGGCGGATTGCTTCGGCAGGCAGCAGGCCATGCAGATGATAAGAAGCAGCTGAGTACACAAGCAACCAAGTGTGAGCTTGCTGGGGTGGCGATGTTCGGGTTAGAGTACGGCGATCGCCTCCGGCTGCAGCACCCACCGCGGGGCAGAAGGCGGGTCCGGGCGACAATGGTTGCGCTTTGTGTGCCCGTATGACGCATTCTCCAAAATATTGGTCGAGAGCACTGTTTCATTTCGCGAAGCTAGCGTTCTTTTTACCACCAACAGTTTGTCAGAGGCGAATTCTGGCAGCCCATCATTTTCGCCACGGCATCGAGCGAACTTGCCTGACTTGCTCGAGGGGTAATTGCCCACCCTACCGAACTCTGCGGCGGTGCACGCCGTTAGAAACGACGAAGTGACACCGTCGTTGAGTATGGAGTTGTG